AACAAGCCCCCTTACCAAAAGCCCCGCAATGTCAACAAGCTCTTCCTAAACCCTCTCAAACACACACACATGCACACACCTCCTCTGATGCATTCTTAGTCACCCAACCCCAAGGGCCTGTATTGTGTCCTTAAATCCTGATCCCTAGCAGGAAACAAGCACCCCTAAAACCCCAAAACAACGGCCGCACAAAGCTCTCTTACAATTACAAGCCCCCGCCGTCAGCTAAAGGAAGGTCGGAAGTTCAGGGTTCAAATAGTTCAAAGTGATCAAGAACAGTCTGAAATAGGGCCAATTATTCATTGACAACAAATAACGAGTTACAAATGTAACTGCACTGATTTTTGAATCACCACCAGAGGGGGGGCTTTGTACTTGAGTGTGAAACGAAGTCAACTGTCTGATACTACCTACATATGCCTGCTGTAAATTACCCAGGTACAAAACTCTTAACTTAGACTAACTTTTACGAGTTTACATTTTTAAAAAGAGAGATCGGATCAGAAGGGGAGTGAGCACCATCAGACCTGATGCAAATAAATGGGGGTTGTCCAAAAAAAAACTAATAGAGAGAGAGCACCAACATCAGTAGCAGCATGAGGGCACATTTAAACACAAAAAGCCTTGATTGAAAGGAGCAACAATATAATAATTATAATAAGAATAATGTCCTAACACCAAATTAACGTCATACAAACTAAGTCCAGATATATTTGTATATGCTTAGAGTACTAATTTATCAAAACAATTCAAAGTTTGAGCGACAGGTTTTTTTAATAACAGAAGAAGATAAAACATGTTTACCACTTAAATACCTACAAATCAAATATATAGTTTTTCTACATATACTACTGATTTAAAAGATGGTCTCCCACTGTGAGTATGACATACAATATGATCAGAGTTTATATTGATAATGTTCTGATTTATAGATCCCCTTGGCATTAAAGCCTTCATTTAGTTTATCGATTGTATTGTTTTACTTTTATTTATTTTATTTGTGCCCAATTAAGTATTTCTGTACGAATACAAACACTGTGTTACATTACAGCCTGATATACAACACGTTACATTCTACATTGAACCAAATCTTTTTTCAAAATAAATAAAGGCACAATAGGCTTGGGCATAAGTGACGTTAAATCCCAAATATTTAAAAGTCTTTTAATTGATATGATGTCATCTCTAACATACGCTCTCCATTTGCTAAAACATCTTCATTGAGACTCATTGGCCGCTCCTCTGGTCTTCCAATGAAACCATTGACTCCAGCTTATCGTCACCTTACGAAACAACATATTGTTCACATATATGCACAGTGGTGGCACAAGCACAATAGCCGGCAGAGCGAGTCATGCTGAGAGGGGATAGCAATTTTAAGCTGAGTCCACACATTTTAGAGGCAGTGGGCTAATCCGGCCAGGCTTTTTAGCCCGCTATTCAGGAGGACAAGGACCCCTAGGATTTGGGCTTGTCCACACCTCAGGGGTAGGGGGGATTATCAAGATAACAGGAAAGGTGGAGAGGGTGGGATGGTGGGCAAAGGGAATATGTGTTCATTAGCAAGACTGTGTGGATTGTTTGCAAGTATGAGTGTGTGGCTCTATATCTTAGTGAGGGGTAAAGGTAAGTAGTTGTGGGTATGTTTGTGTATTTAGAGGGGTTTCTCCCTGACTCCCATCCCAAAAAATATACCCCAGAGCTCTGACAGGGTCACCTCTGGGCCTTTCAAAGCCTCCTCTCAACCAATCCTAATTGATCTCACGCATTACTAGTCCCAAACATGGAATGGAGAACAGGAGGGAGATGGCTGGCTCATTGTTCGACGAACGAGGTCCCGTTGCTAGTGGCTCTCTCCACACACACACACACACACACACACACACACACACACACACACACACACACACACACACACACACACACACACACACACACACACACACACACAGCACACCACAGCACACACACACACACACACACACCACACACACACACACACACACAACACACACACACCACACCACACACACACACACACACACACACACACACTACACACACACACACACACACACACATCACACCACACACACACACACACACACCACAACACACACACACACACACACACACACACACACACACACACACACACACACACCACACACACACACACACCCACACCACACACAACCACAACAACACACACACACACACACACCCACACACACACACCCACACACACACACACACCCACACACAACACACACACACACACACACACACACACACACACCACCTCTGGCATGCCCACCCATCTCCCCTTCTACCCCTTTTCTCCTCTCCCCACCTTTATGCTCTCATCTCCGGCTGTGCTAATCCACCGGCCAAGTCAGGAACTCAGTTACCCATCTGGCCGAGCACGACTCCAGCTGGGAGGAAGAGATGGGATGGGTGAAGAAAAAAGAGGAGAGAATGGTAAGAGGGGTGGAATGGGAAAGAGGGATGAAGGGTTATACTGTAAGTCAAGAGAGGGGAAAAGAAATGAGGGAAGAGAGAAGTCACTATTAGAGGACGAAGAGGAAGAAAGACAGGGAAGGAGAAATGCAAATCACAAACACAGTGAAGGTTGCTAGAGTGCCACAAGGCAAAAACATGATGACCTCTCCATTTTCTCTCTACAAAGGAAAAGGTATTGATCCTATTGTCTCCTTGAAGAGAATAGGGATTATCCGTTCTAGCAGGTTGGAATGAGAGCTGCCACTGAGCTCTGTCATGACTTATATAGTCTGATCCCAGTGTGCAATGAAGTAGCCTCTGGCCATGACCTTCACCTCTGACCCCGAGTCCTATGGAGCCATCTGGCTGGTTAGCACTAACCCATGACCTTTGTCCTAACCCAACACATGCCTGTGAAGGTGGACCTGCACAGAGAAAAGTATTAAACAACTTCATATACATTATATCATCAAAGAAGCAGCTCTATTAATGCATATGTTGTTGTTTCTAATGATACTGAGCATTGTTTCAATATTTGATATGGCTGAGGTGTAATCAAAAGACACATTTTAATTAACTTGACTATAAAGATGTATTGTATGGCTTTGAATGCAACTTACAAATGCATTCAGCTGCCACTTTATTTGGTCAACCTGGACAATCTAATGCAACAGCTCTGCCACAAATGATACCTTCATGAAGTATATTAAGTTCAGTTGTTGTTCATATTTGTAGGATGTAGTTTGCAGTGGTATTGTACTGCACAACATTATTTTGAGAGTTCCTTGTTATTACTATCAATATACATAAGAGACAGAATATTACAAACATAGACCTCATGCTAAACATACAAATGTAACCTATGAGTGTCAAAAGAAACGTTATAGGCATCACAAACGTAAACTTCAGGTGAGAAACGTTGTATTGGATTTCAATAATAATAAATGATTTGGGTTTAAAGTAGCTACTGATAGTTAATGAGAGGAATACACATGCGATTAACATGAAATGTGCATGCTTATAAGTCATTTTAAAGGAGTTTAATCTCATAAACAATCCAAATGCTTGTAGCTGACCGAACTGATTCACTCAGGTAAACAGCAGTCATGCATGTCTGATTGAAATAGCTCTACAAAAGGAATAGCAATAACTGAATAGAGCAGAATACAACCCAACTCAACCAGAAGTTGAGCTAAATGCCTCAGAGAAACTTGACAGAATGAAGGTGAGACCAAGGCTCTTGTGTTTCAGGTGATCATATTCCACTTCATATCATAAAGCATTTGCAAACCCCTGTTTGAGTCAGGCTCTTACCTTTCTCCCAAACCACTCATCACTGTCGACTGAGAAAATAAGAAGACGGAAGCCCACTTTCCTTCTCAAGGACATTTGAAGGTAGTTGGGAGGAATGAGCATACATGATAAATTGCATCGGAAGCCACACAAGAGACGTACTACCATTCAAAGAGATGGAATCAAACCACCCGCATCAAACCATCAATCAAACACTAGCAGCACACAGCATGAGGCTAACCCAGAGTTTGAGCGTGTGTGTGTGTGTGTGTGTGTGTGTGTGTGTGTGTGTGTGTGTGTGTGTGTGTGTGTGTGTGTGTGTGTGTGTGTGTGTGTGTGTGTGTGTGGTGTGTGTGTGTGTGTGTGTGTGTGTGTGTGTGTGTGTGTGTGTGTGTGTGTGTGTGTGTGTGTGTGGTGTCAGGATGGGATAAAAGTGAGTGCAGGTCAAACAAACTGTGTGAAAGTAATAAAATACTTACTCGACCATATTCAAAACACAATGCAAATAAGTCCTGTTTCTCGCTTGAGGCCAGGAAAAGGCTAGTCACTGTGACCTTTTTACCTGTGCTGGATTATGGTGATTTGTTATATATGAATGCACCTGCCAATTACCTGAGCAAGTTAGATGCTGCGTATCACAGTGCACTGAGATTTTTGACAAATTGTAAAGCACTTACGCATCACTGTACCCTGTATACCAAGGCGGTTATGCCATCACTTACTGTACGGAGGCTCACTGGTACTTTTTCATTTACAAAGCCATGTTGGATAAACTACCATCTTATATCTGCTCCCTGATCTCTCTGCGAATTGAAAGTACTTATTGCCTGAGATCGCATGCTGTGGTTTTATTAAATGTGCCAAGTGCTAGGACTGTCTTAGGGAAGAAAGCTTTTAGATGTGCAGCTCCACTAACATGGAACAGTCTGCAAAAAGAATGGGAAATTACCAAGCTAGTACCACTACATGTTTTTAAAGCTCGGTTGGATGCTACAAAATCAGATGCTGTTGGTACCTGTACTTGTGGTTAAATATGTAAATTGTAATCCCTGTACATTTTGCTGTTCTGTTGTTTATGTCTTCTTGTGGAACCTACTGCTGCAGGTCTCCCTTGAAAAAGAGATCATTGATCTCAATGGGATTTTACCTGGATAAATAAAGGTTTTGAATTGAATTGATAGTAGTAAGATAAAGTAGGTACTTACAGACATTGCCGGTGTTGTCAAAACTGTTGAGCACTTCGTTAACTCGGATAGGCCCCATGTTGTCCCTGAAACAGACAAATAAAGAGGATTACACAGCGGCATGGGTGAATACTATTGTTGTTTAAATACATTATAACAGGAAGGAAATTAACAAGATAAGTCAGCATGCATTTCTTTTCAAATCTCAATTGGATTGAATAAGAGTTTGGAAAATAAAAAAGCAACATTGAGACAAATAAAGTTTAATTCAACAGCATTTTAATCACCATATCAAAAAGTGTTGTTTAGGTAATGACTTAATAACATCATCTCTTGTATGGTTTGTCCTTGTAGATACTTTGCTCTTCTGTCCTTAATGGTAAAAGCAACACCACACGTTATGAACCTGCAACGTGTTAAGTCCTGTGTTATCATGAAACGACCCCTTGTTTGGTCGTTGTGCTTCATCTGTGCCAGTATGAAACTAGAGCCTTATATGGATCCATTCATGTGTGTGTACCTGAGCAAGGCACTGTACTCGGGAAAGAAGACACTTCTGTACTCCACCCACTGGTCGTCTGAGGTATCACTGGGGTCTTGAGTCAGAAGCCTCTTCCTGCTGAAAAGGTCAAACGTTGCAAACCTGCGGACAGACACCTGTTTGACCTCTGGAGCGTCCGTCTGCTTCTGACGCAACACCTGCGTGGAAATATAGGAAAGTTAATAGATTTCAATTTCCTCAAAATAGCACATCTCTCACTGGAACATTTATCGTATTCAATTTGCTGTAAAGTCTCAACATTTGTTTTAATGTGTTGGCAGCGTGAGGTTTCATACAAGAAATCCTTTAGAAGACCATACTTTATAATGGATATTTTAAATAAATGCTACATTTCAAATGTTCCATAACAACATCATGTTATCCTGAACCTTAACTAATGTTAAATATGGTTTGTCTGTGTCGCTGTCTATACTTAAACATAATGTATTTCATTTATTTAATCGTTTATTTGGCAGGGACAATGCACAGTAATGAACACTTAAATCATTCAAATGTGTCAATCGTAACAGGGACAGATTTAGCTTTGAGCTCATTTCCATCTGCAGTCCCTCACATAAAACATTTAAGAAGTTTACATTTTACAAACATAGCAAAAACAAAATACATGATATGCAAAAGGTGCAAAAGAGCAAGAGCAGCATACACAAGTATTTATGACATGGTAATACAATATAGCAGCAGACATAAAGTGCAAGAGGAGATACCCCTGTGTTAAAGTGCATTTAGCGGTGATTGCACGGATGTTTGTTTCTCAACCATTCTTTGAGTTGACCTTTGAAGCTATTGAGAGTGGGACAATCCCGTGTCTCAGTTGGGAGGCTATTCCAGAGTGAGCTGCCTTTAATGGAGAGGACATTTTGTCCAAAAGTGGTCCGTCTGCGGTGGACTTCACAGTCTCCTCTGGTTTCTGACCTAGTGCAGCGTCCAGTTTGTTTTTTGTGGATGAATTCCCCTAAAAGGGAGGGGGGGGCCAGTCCATGTAAACATTTATAAATAAAGCACATACTTTTAAAAGACTTACAATTGTCAAAGCTCAAGAAATTGTGTTTTTCAAGGATGGTACAGTGGTGGTATGAATGTGGCTGTCTGTCAAACACCTCGATAGCTCTCTTGTACAGCTGTTCTATTGGTTTCAGGTTTGTGGCACAAACAAACGACCAGTTTGTAAAACAGTATTCAATGTGGGATAGAATCATGCAGTGGAGGTATGACTTTGCAGCATTGACAGTTAAGAAAGGTCTAATTTGTTTAACATTTTGCAAGTTGGATTTAATAGTATTGGATACTTTCTTAATATGTTTCTTAAAAGTCAAGTTTGAGTCCAGTATGACTCCAAGATACTTGAAGTGGGGGACTAGTTCTATTTCTGCTCCGTTTAAAAACACGTTGGATCCTTCGATGTTGACTGGTCGTTTACTGAACATCATGCATACTGTTTTTTTACGTTTAACTGTAAGCAAATGTTGTTCAGCCAGTGTTGAACCTTGTCCAAAGCATTTGAGAGACAGGATGAGATCAGTATGATTGTACATCTTTTCATCCTGAACGTAATTCATTACATTAGATAAGTCCTATTTACAGTGTCTATCTATCTATGCATTTTGGTGGAGTCCATATTGCGCCAGGAGGAAGAAACGCAGAATGCAAGGTGGCCCCATTACAGGGAGCTTTTCTTGGCAGCAGAGTGCAACGTCTGTATAATGCCCATCTATGGCAGAAAGTATAAACTCTACTTTAACAGCTCCCCTGTGAGAGAAGTGAGGGAAACTCTTACTGGTGACAAAGTAACTGGAATATGTTGTTATTACATTACTTGATGATAAAGTTACAGTCAGGTTAAACGTCAAGTTATGTCCAATGTCATAGCAGATCAGAGTACCAATGAATCAAATGCTTAATAAACAGAATGCTATCATACCGTAACAGACTGAAACAGGTATATTACAGTGCATAAGCTATGCCCTTGTGCACATTTCACAAAGCTTAGGCTATACAAATATGCTAATTGAACTACACATTACAATAGTCATTGTAAGCTAATAAAAAAGAGGGGAAACATGACAAGGAGAAACAGTGTGTTCCCATCACCATTATTAGAGATATTCAAACGTAGAACAAATATTTAAAGATGTTGAACAAATTGTAGGCTATGTGCAATAAAGACACACTCTTGCAATACTGTGCAATAATCACCTTTATAGATATAGAAACACATATAATGTTATAAATGTCCCAACATGTTTATAATATCTCAGCACCTAATATGTCACTCAGTTCTTCCAATTGCTTCTCCTCGTTGTTAGCCAGGGATGTGTACTTGTGTTTCTTTATGTTGATTGTATTATTACTAATGTGTGCTTTTTTCTCTAAATGTAATAAGTTGGCTTATTCTTTATTATGGCATGCCTTTTTTTAACCTGCTATGCCACTTTTTGCTGTAACACTGTGCATGTCCCCGCGGTTGGAATAATAAAGGAATTCTGATTCTGCTTTGTTTTGAAGCTAACAATAGCCTACCTGTCTCAGCAGAGTCCACCTGGCCTTCGCCACATCAGTAGCACCACAGATCGGTGAATTAGCTGCTTCTTCATTAATATTTTTCCTCAAAGGCGACGCCGGCTTGGTTTTTTCTGCAGTGTCGATGCAGTCCCTCTCCATTTTATCCAACCGGTGGGCGTAAATAAATCTGCAAACAAATGTAATCACTGTAGGGCTGTCACAGTTACCGGTATATATAAGGTTATACAAAAATTAAGGCTTTTTTTATGGTAACTACACCAACGCACAACTGCTCGCAGATATGCCTGGCTGAAATCACCTGTTACACCCACAATGGATACATGCTACTTCCGTACACTTTTGGCATTCGAGACATGGCAATAGACTATCGATAGAATCGTGCTGAATTGTCAGTTCTAAACTGCCAGGGGATTATCTCAATTTGATTACTTCAGCCTAGCGTTGCTCGCTACGTCATCCACAGCGGGCTTTGTTTAGGAAATCAGGCACGTGTATAGAATTTGCTTTCTGCTGTCAACAGAGGACGTTTCATTTATTTATCGAAACAATACATTATTCAGGTGGAAATACAACGCTTATTTGTCATGCGAAGTGTGTTTTACTGTCGTCATGACTGACATACATTTACCAGGCAGTGATATTAAGCTACTTTGACCCATAAAACCACAGCGTTCATGTGTAAACTAAGCTAATTTAACCTTATTTATTTGTAATGGCTGTCCTCTCTTCTTTGCTGTGTTCACCTGCTCGTTACATTTCACCATTTCGGTTACGATTATGGGATTTCTCTCCTTGCAAAAGGAGAACATGGCTCTTCTTGTCCATCCAACGCTGTTACTCATCGGTAAGGGTAATTCGTTTGGGTATTTATATGTATTGAGAGCACATAGGCACAGGAAAACACACGAGCACAATGACATCACATATGCATAGTTAAAAGCCTTTTAAAACAACTATTAACATGCAACAGAAACAAAAACACATACTTAAGCAAGGATAAAAGCTTTAAATAACAAAAGCTAGTTATGGTTAAAATGCTGTTTTTGTTTTGGGTAGGTGTACTGTTAGATTACCAGTGTGATGGAAGAAGTACTCAAATCTTATACCTAAATACCTGCATCTGTGAGAAATACTCATTACTAGTCTCAAATAAAAGTATGGTATGCTTGTGTAAACATACAAAAGCAAAAGCATTAATTTAAAATATAAAATGTGACCCATTTGATAGCAATTTCATAATTACTATTACATGCTAATGTGTTCATCTCTTCAGTGTTGCAGTTATTGAAGAAGTGTAGCTAATTTACTTAATATAATATATATAATAATAACATATAATAATGTGTGTCATCATAATTCAGAAACTGGCAAGAAAGGTGTATAAATACCATTAATTAACTATTGCTCTCATGTGAATGTGTGTAGACTAAAAAAAAAGCACAATATTTACCTCTGAGATGTGCTGTAGTAGAAGTGTAAAGTAGTAGCACCAAATGGATGTGCTCAAGTAAAGTACCAGAACTGGAGATGACTGTCTGTTAAAGCTATCCTGTAGATAACGTGAAGTCATTCATTATTCAAAAGTAACGGTGTCTTTTCACCAGGCTAACAAAACAGGTCTTGTACAGAGCGCAGGCTGAAACTGAGCCCTGTGGATGGGGATCACTGCACTCACACGGAAATGAGCTTCAGGGAAATGGAAACATGAACACATTAGAAATAAAGCCCAAAGCCTTTAACATGTTTTCAATTAGTATGTTCCAATACTTTACTCTTATAGGATACATTTTGGATAGATTTGAGCACAGAGTAAATCACCATTTTTGTTGAATAAAAATGTCATGACATCATCCTAACGAATCACCACTTTTCCTATCTTTACAACATACTGTTTTACTGTATTTTTACAAAAGACACATTATATCACAAGTGGAGATTTTTGGAAATCATACAGTTGAATTAACACATATATATATACATTAGTATATACATATGCCATTAATAACTGTAATATATACCTGGCTGCTAAATCCTAAGAACTGTTACAGGATTTGTATTTAAAAAAAAAAAAAAAAACATTTTTTTTATTATATCATAATTTAGTACTTTTTTTAACATATGTAACATTAAGCTGTCTGTGGCTCTTTCCTGCTGTGACGATGCAAATGTCCCCTCTGTGGGACTAATAATGGTATTCTGATTCTGATAAGTAGGCTTCATATCACTAACACCCACACGTTGTTTTATTTTAGGACAATTCAAACTCACCAGATCATCATCGCAGCTCTGGACTCGAGAGGTACAAGGACTTACAGAAGTATTTCAACAGGAGACTGAAGGCAGCACACCACAGGTTCTCCCACATACCTGATCACTCATTGGTAAGGGCTGCACTTTGCCTTGGGATTTTAAACTATTTGAATATAATCTCAGTGTTAATCACAGCAGCATTCACACTTGTGTTGCCAGAAACACAGAGTATACATCCTGTGTGGGATTAGTAGGATCCACAGAATCATATTATTCTCATTAGCTGTTGAGGCATTTGTGAAATTCTAATTCTTTTTTTACAATTCACTGTGATTTGCATTGACACAGGTCTGTGGCCATAACCATGTGTATTTCATTGAGGGGGATGGGATCTACAGAGTGGACCAAAGACAAAGTAAGCAGAAAATATGAAGTTGTAAAGCCAGAAGCTTGAGATCAGAGACCTGTAATCATATTGCATTCTGAAGACTAAAGTAACTCATAGACACTTGAATGGGAAATGTTATAAAGAGGACTGAAATTAACCAAAAACTAAAACATTACCTGCAGTTCCTTTTATTAATAAAACCCTATTCACTGCACCTGCAATTTATTAGCATTCCTTTGTAAGGAATCCCTCTTCTGTGAATGACTCAGTTTCCTCGCCCTGTTTGTAGGTGACCCAGAACCAGAGCAGGTGCTACATCTAGGACAAGTCTCTAGGCAGGAGGAGAAGACAGGTCTTATTAATGAAGAAAGGATTCAGTGGATTGTCCAGAGAATACGTCTGTCCCCTCAGGAGAAGCATCTTGCTGCCGCACTAAAAACTACTGACACAGAAGAGCCTAGGTGAAAAGATTCATATAAGCATGCAGAATGTTCTTTTATTTGGCAGTAATGGGTTTTTTATTGTCAAAATGTAAACTGTTAAACTTACTGAATGAATTAATGGATGATTGTGCTGTGACGTCCAGGTGTGTGGTTGTGAGGCTTCGAAAGAGAAACTCTCCTCCTCCTCCTGATCCCCAACACATTGTACTCACACTGGACAAAGTCTTCAGCTTTGGTATGTTTTGAATAGTTTGACCTTGGAGAAATATAATAGTAGTATAAGTGTACTGGCTAATATATAATGTTGTATTTGTCTACATGAGTAAAGAGTGGGCCACAGACGATGTCCTGTTCTACACAACTCTGGAGGCTCTGCGCTGCAGTAAAGTGTTTCGATTGGACCTGACCTCCAAAGAAAGTAGGATCTCTTCTGTGTTTGAGGAAACACATCCTGAGTAAGTAGAAGTAATGCTGCGTACCATTTACATTGGAAGTCAGGGGTCAGAACTGGGAGTGACGTCACATTCGAGTTGACAGTGTTTCAGTAGCACAAGTCGGAAAAAGGGCCCAGCAGGAAAGTTGTTCGCCTTGTTTACAGCTTTAACAGTCACCTAAGCTTTATTTTGTATTTTACAGATATAAAAATCCTAGCAACATATCCACCGATAGAAGATGATCCGAACCATACTGTATGTACAGTTGATGACACAAATAATACAGACGAGCTAAAAATCTTATATTATCAAAGTGTTCTCTTAATGTTCATATGCAGAGACTCCATTTTGACCGCTGATCTTGGATGATCTCGGGTATGGCGAGGTATCTCCGAGTTTCCAAGTAGGCACCAATCTGACCTCAAGGGGCGTTCCAGTTAAAATGTCCGACTGGGAACTTAGATATTCCCTCTTCCCAGTACAACTTGAACGCACCATAAGGTCACATCTAAGCTGTGTCTGCTCCCACACCGTCTCTAATTCATACATGGACCTCTCCACAGTGTGTTTGTGGAGGTCGCTCTTTCCAGAGACCGACAGATGCTGAGCATCAACGGCAACAGCAGGAGCAGCTCAGAGGTTCTGCTAATTGATGGAACGACTTCCCATCTAGAGCCTTTCCTGGTTCAGTCACGGCAGCCGGACCTCCTGTACCATGTGGAGCACTGGAGAGAGTCTCTGGTTATACTGGCTAATACAGGGCCTGGGAAAGAATATCAGGTTAGCGTTTGTACAATACTCTTACAAACACACACTGGAATACGATATGTAGACGAATAGTTTCATAAGCTAAAATGATTTTAAAAGTTTTTATACTTTGGCCCCCTTCAGGGTTCGTACAAGTGCTTTATTTTCCTGTTAAAGTATAAAGTATCAATCGAGAAGTGATAACTAAGGCTTCAAGTGTTTAGACATTTTGGTTTGGATACCTATTAAGTTGTTTTTAAGGGCTTGTATGTTTTTGCTGCAAGTCAATGTGTATAATCCTTAATGATTATGTTGTGGTAAATCACAGCAAAATACATTTGGAAGGAGATAATTATGCTAATTCATATTTTATGTTTCCTAGGTGTTGCAGTCCCCTCTCTCAAAGCCCTCCATGGCCTCCTGGGTGCCTTTGTTTGCCCCTTACTCCGGCACTGTTATCAAAGACATGGACGTGATCGGAGACCACTGTGTGTTGGTGGCTAGAACAGCAGCCGGTGGACTCGTTCTTATCGTAGTCTCGCTGACCAATCCCAAGGAGGCATACACTGTACAGGTCAGTGTGACCGGAAAACTAGATTATAATATTTTTTTTCTTTCTTTGCAGGTTTGACGTTATACTAACTTGCTGGCATGCTTGCTATTATTCATAAAACTATCCTTTACCAAATTGCTTGTTAAGATGCTTAAATGTAAAAGGATATCTTTCACACATCAACATATACACAATACAAAACATATACAGTTGGCCATTTGTATTCATATTGATTGTATGCATTAATCTCTCCCTAGCTCCCCTCCTGGGCCTGTACCATCCAAACGAAGAAACCAGGCATGGGAGACCGAGGCAGTGTGTTGGAGTTCTTGATTTCATCTCCAGTCCACACCCCAATGCCGTACAGTCTGTCCCCTGAAGATGGGCTACTTTTATCAGGCTTCAAAGATGGTTCCTCCCCAGGGGCCCAGGGCAGAATTACCACCACCCGCTTAGAGGCCTGCAACCAAGTGAGAACACTTGACACATAAGACGCATGCACACACACTGAAACAGTATCGGCTGTGGGGAGGCTCATCATCTCCGTGCTAAGACTCAAGTGTCTACTGGTAAAGCTCTTTTGGCAACCAGCCACCAGTAGAACACTGTCATGCACACACACACAGCTAAGACCTGGAAGTGCAGATCTGATATATGCAAAACAAATTATCAAGAGCTGTTTCGAGATCATTTAACATTTTGAAATGTCTCCCTGCCTGTAGGATGGTACCTTGGTGCCAGTGACCCTGTTTCACTCAGGACCTGTGGGGGGTTTGAGACAGGCTCCTCTACTCGTCCATGTCTACGGAGCTTATGGCAGAGATCTCAACATGGAGTTCTGCCCAGAGAAAAGGCTTCTGCTAGAGCAAGGCTGGACTCTGGCCTTCTGCCACATCAGGTAGTGTATTACTCTGTAGCAGCCCGCAACGGGGACATCTACATTATTATCTCTGCAGAAGTATAGTGCAGATAAAGTAAAGAGAATAGACTTGCATATAAAAATATAAAAAACTATGCACATGTTATTAATAATTAAAAAAACAAGTTAAAACAAACAGAAGAAAAGTGACCATAGATGTATATATAGTATTAGTTAGTATTACAGACTAACCTGTTTAGCTCAGCAGGTTATCTGGTAATAAGAAGCATGCTTTATGTAAGTGTAACTGTGGCTAGTAAGTGCTAGAAATAGTCTGTGAGGGAAAATACACTCTGGAATTGTGCGTTAAAGTGAATCTGTGTTATTTCCCTTTGCCCCTCCTAGAGGTGGAGGAGAGCGAGGTCTCTTCTGGCACCGACAGGCTGGTGTTGAGGGGAAGCAGAGAGGAGTGGAGGACCTGCGAGCCTGTCTCCGTCACCTCTTCTCTTCAGGAGTCTCCTCTCCTTCTCTCACCGCCCTCACAGCCTGCAGCGCGGGGGCTGTGGCCGTGGGAGCGCTGTGTAACACACACACACACATGATGCGAGCTGTCACACTGCAGGTAACATGTTAAATCATCAGAGACGGGCTGTGGTTGTGTGCAACTGTCTTGGAGTGTGTAGATTTTAGTGTTACTTTTTTTTAAATTGATTACACACATCCAAAGCCATCTCTTCTACTGTGTTCAGGCTCCTTTCCTGGATGTGTTGGGAACAATGGAGGACCCCAGCCTGCCTCTAACTTTGGAGGATAGAGAAGAATGGGGGGACCCAGTTGGAAACCCAGAACATAGACTCATCATCTCCTCCTACTGTCCCCTTCACAACATAACCCCTCAGGTACAGGAGAAAAAAAAGTTTAGCCTCAGAGTTACATTTGCCCTATAGGTAAAACAATTTAAATTCCCACATTTTGGTCCAATGTGAACATAAATGAAAATTGTTGATCCAAAACCCTTTAAATACAGCAAGTTAACCATCTTTTTGAATTTGTGTTATTATATGAGCTAGTGTTACCCATCGATGCTGCTGACGGCCTACAGCGGTGATGCCAGGGTTCCTCTGGCAGGTGTCCTCAAATACACCGAGCTGCTAAAAAAGGCCATCCATACACACTTCACCTTGAATCCAAAATCAGGTATGTGCACACACACTGTCCACACATGCTATCACAACACTTATTTTCCTGATGCATGTGTGCAGCCGTATTGCATATATGTGTGTGTTGTGTTTGTGCATTCTCACTTGTATTTGTAGGTGTAATTTGTGCATCATCAGATGTTTTAACGGTTCAGGGTCAGCTCCCAACAGTAGTGTCAGTGTGGATGTCTGGAGAGGCGGCAGAAACTTAAGCAATGCCTGGGGAAGCTGCCAACAGCATCTGAAGTTCATGACCAAAGTATAGCATAGGTCACCTTGGGGGGTGGGGGGTGTGTGTGTGTGTGTGTGTGTGTGTGTGTGTGTGTGTGTGTGTGTGTGTGTGTGTGTGTGTGTGTGTGTGTGTGTGTGTGTGGTGTGTGTGTGTGTGTGTGTGTGTGTGTGTGTGTGTGTGTGTGTGTGTGTGTGTGTGTGTGTGTGTGTGTGTGTTAATTGCTCTCATTTCCCCATAGACAGGCTCTTTCTCCCTCTCACTTATAATCTGCCTTCCCCACATTGGTGGTACTCCTCTTTACACCCCTCTCTCTCTCTAGCACCGCCTCCACGCTTCTTGTTCCAAATGCACACATTATCTCTCTCACTTTCCTGTTGTTCATACACACATACACCAGGCGGCTTAAGTGTCTGTGTATGTGTGTGTATATGTCTCTCTAATCTGTCTCCCTCTGTTCTCCGGAGTCTTTGATAAAGTGCTGATGGCATAGACACATGCAGGAGGGGGGGCAGACCCATTAGCATGGTAAAGAGATAGTGTATCTGAGCAAGAGATTAGACGCCTCAGACTGGGAGCTGTCAAGGTCAAGACCGCACTTGTGAAACAGCCCGTACCACTGAGACCAGGCTGGGAGGGATAATATGGTGGGGGGAAGAGGGAGGGCAATATCAGATGGGATCACGAATGAATGAAAGGAGTGTAAAGACATTTCCAATAGAGGGGTTGATTTGGGGAAACTGGACAGAGAGAAAAGGGGAGCAGAGAAAGTGGGTGTATAATAAAATGTGACAAAAAAAGGCAAAGAGGATGTTACAAATCTTCTCTCCCCCCTGTTCTGCCTTTGACCTCCGTCTTTCTGTCTTATCCGTTTTTTAAGAATATGAACCAGCACCAAACATAGTTCTGAATATCCAACCTGGAGAAAATCACCTCGGACCAGAAGACTTTGAGCTGATGCTGGAGGAGGTAATGCATTCACATCATCATTTGTGTATCTGCCCTGTAATAAAGTTTTTAGTATTTGTACATTTCAAGATGTCCTTCTCTCACATCGTTACAATCCATTTAAAAAGTCAGTTTACCCAAATCCAAAAATAATCTTAACTGTGCCAGAGTTAATTAGTATGTTTTCCATTTTGAATTCAGCCCAACTCTATCCTCACATTTTGAACAATAACATTTGTTTTATCAGATAAGTTGCTAGGTACAAACTGTGAAATGTGTCTTTTCTCCTGGACACAGGAAGCCCTCAGGCTAGCATTCCTTTACACAGAGCTGGGCCTGGAGCCTCCTCGGCCCCAACGCAAGAGGAGGAGATAACACTGCTATCAGGAGCCAGGAATCAAACAAATACCATTACTACAACAACTCTGATGACACTTACTGCCTAATCTTTAACAACACCAATGAAAGAGAAGACAACAGTGGATGTATCTGCAATCCTCTTTATTACACGCTATGAATCCCTTACAGAGGAGACCCCAAAGAAGAATCTTGATGATGCGTTTTAGCATTTATAAAGTATGTCCACGGCACTTAAATAGCAGGCCTTCTCGGAGACGTAGCACTGGTCAGGGTGGGTGGGGTTAAACCGGGTGTGGGTGGAGTACTGGATAAGCAAACCCTCTCCTACCTCTGTGGGGATGTGAGACTTTTGTAACACCTTGCCGCTGTTGACTTGTTTTGTGCTCATCAGCACCTTCAGCTGGTCCGGTAGCTCCCTGATCGAGGAGAGGTCTGTGATGGCAGATTCTTTACCAAAGTTTAGCACCATGAGGAAAGCTCGGCCCAGCCCTTCTAGCTCTCTGAGGTAAGAGAAGACGTTAGCGTCGGCGTGGACGTAGCAGAACCAGCCGCGGTGCAGGGGCAGCTCCGACTGACGCAGGGTGCTCAGGAAACGGTACTGAGCCAGGACAGAACCTGGCTCTTTCTTCTGGACCTAGAGGAGAACGATTGGCAAGAAGACACATGGTGTAAAAGAAAATTATCGTGAGCAAGCTCTGGCCAGATGTTTCTCCAGAGATTAAAGAGTTCTGTACCTCCACATTGACGCTACTGTAGTCAGGATGAACAGGCAACCAGGTGATGTTGCTTTTGGTGTTAAAGCCTGCGTTTATGTCATCACTCCACTGCATAGGGGAGCGCTGGGGGTCCCGACTGGCACTCTGCAGCAAGAGGAATCAGTTTAGCACATCAGCTTCTAGTGACAATAAATATATGTATCTATATGAAAATATAAATCAAATCAAAAACCTGCAATAAATCCTACCATCGTTGAAATCGTTACACAGAGGCAGTGATTTAACTTATTGGCTTTTTCCAGGCTGTTTGTTATGTTGAAGAGATTTATATTAAAGTTGAAGTCCACACACATTTTTTCCCTATCATATTTTTATAGATTTGATTTAGATTGAAAAGATTTAACATTGTCATTGCACCGAGTACAAGTAATAAGACAACGAAATGCAGTTATTCAATTATAATATAAATCTATATATACATGTGACTGATAAAAACAAACTGATGTATTAACACTATGAAGTATTATAAGGAGGTATACACATTATCAACAGCAGTATATAAATATACAGTATAATACAGACACTATCAACAGTATAGAAGTGAACGAGAGTATTTTAACCAAGTTTGCTCAGTACTGACGGAGTTGTATTTTCCGGCAGGGTCCAGTATCTGACTGTCTGTGACATGTATGTTCTCCATGCCGATCTCCTCTCCGTAGTAGGTGGTGGGGGTGCCCGGGAGGGTCAGCAGCAGCATGTTGATGACACGAACGTAGATCTGACCAGCACTGGAGGCAATTCGAGACCTATCATGGTTCCCGACCTGATTGCAGTAGAGGTGGAAGAAATACAAGAGAAGGTGGAGAGATGGTGAAAAAAGTTAAGGAGGAAGATGGCAGGGTGAGGTGGGTATGTTTGAGTAATGGAAGAGAAAGCCGATGTGAAAAGACTCCTGACTCACCACCCAGTTTGGCCATTGTCCCTTGGGCATGTTGCCCATCCACAAGTGGACCAGATGTTTAACCCACATGCCGCTTGGGTTCTGAGGAAGGTCCAGCAAGTAGAAGTTAAAGGGGAAGTCACTTTCTTTCACCTGCGGGGTGCCATAGTACATCATGGTCTTCTCCACCTCGTGGTAATCATACGACTCTGTCACCATGAACCTGGAGAGGAGCAGGAACTTGTGTTTGAGGACGTGCAATCTGATCCTCCGCCACACTGAACATTAGTATAATTCAACACTCGATTTTCTTCACCTTGAACTTTGCTGAACTCTTGTAACTAAAATAGAAATTTGTTTCAAAAAAAGTGCTGGTACTAACAGTTCTTTAAACATACAGTATCTGTAAGCAGATTGAAACACAGTTTACACTCATTGTCAAAAATGCTTCGACATAAATGTGACACAGTAGAATACACAAGACTGTTTCAAAATAAATGATGAGCTGTTTGAACCTATATCATCATCATCATCATACGTATGTAGTAGCACATTGAGTAGTCACCAGTCCCTGTTCGTCCAATAGATGTACTGTTTTGTGTCCCACACCTGTATCTGCCTGGCTCCCGGCTGTAGATGTCCATCTCCGCCCTCCACTCCCTCAGCATGTCATGCAGGCCCAGCTGACTGGTGGTGTAGTCGTGGTAGAGGTCCCACTCTGTGGTCACATCCTCCTGTTGTGAATATAAACAAACATGAGGTAATGTGGCTATTATTGGATTTCAGGCTCTCAAGGATTACTAAGAGTTATGGTTAGGTTTTGCATTTGGTTTAGGGCACTTGTGCCATTCATAGCAAAGCTTACACCCTGAGATCATCAACTATAATAGATCAAGAGAACCCAACTGTATGTTCCACTTCCCATTAGGAGTTAGGAGAGTTCCCCTTGAAATATGTTCCTTTATCAGTCTAAAGCACAGGGTCCAGTTGAAGGGCAGGTCAGTGGGAAAAAACAGATAAAGGTCAAGTTACACAGATATTTGGTTTCAATAAAGTACTACTGAGTACTGATGTGTTTAAGGAGAGTTCAAAAAAGTTCAGGAATTAAACCGCTCAAGCCTGCTTCCTTCCTAAAAGCCTTCTTCAGGAACAGTGACTCCTAAGAAATAAAACCTAATGTGTATGCATTTGTATTAGTAAGAAACTCAAACATGACTATTACCAGACTTATTTACTGAAGCAGTGCTGCCACAGGAGTTAAATATCTAGTCCTACAGAAAAAAGTAGTTTATATATATATATATAGAATATGTTTAGTCTAGGTTTCATATACCTTAATATTATCTTATATCAAAATGTCTAGGGCCACTGAAATACAAAGAAAATATATGACACTATTGTGACTGAACACAATGTGAAGGACTGTTAGATAAGAAATAAAATCATAAATAATGACCCTTCAGCCGACGGACAGTGAAGCAAGTGAAGTTGATCTGAATTTAAAGCTATACCAGCAATAAACTACTAAAACAATCCTGATAACAGATAGCTGCTCAGTTATGATCTGCTGAATCACATCATAATCATGTGGTAAAACTCTCAATTTGCCACACAGCTGTGACTCTTTATTGCAGTGTTGTGGTTCCTGTGTAGCGCCCAACAGTGACTCTTGTTTTGTTCAATATGATGTGCAGCTTGGCATGGGTTGTTCAAAATGAGCACAGCCAACAGCAGTGGTGGAATAAAACAAAGTACATTTACTAAAGTATTTTACTTAAGTTGTTTTCTCGCCATACTTGTATTTATCTTGGGTATTTTATCCCTTGTCTTCCAATTACCGGCAGTGGCTCAGTCAGTAGGGGCTTGGACTGTAAGCCGTAGGGTCGCCGGTTCAAGTCCCCGACCAGACCTACAAATGGAGTGTGGACTGCTACTTGGAGAGGTCCCAGTTCACCTCCTGCCCTGCCGTGTTGCCCTTGAGCAAGGCACCGGACAACCCCCTTCCCCCCCCCCACTCCCATTGCTCCCCGGGCGCTGTACAATAGCTGCCCACTGCTCCTAGTATAGACTCCTGGTACTAGGATGGGTTAAAACAGGGGTGTCAAACTCAATTTCATCGCGGGCCACATTCGCATAAAGGTTGCACTCAAAGGGCCGGTTGTAACTGTAGAGGAAACTTCTGTGTAGCTATGCAGTGGGAGTCACCGACTCAGGAAGGAGACACGGGAAGAGCAGTAGCTTTGATGTCAAACACATGATGGTTTATTTGGAGTTAACGGCCGGAGGATTCACATCACAAGTCCAAGAGTCAGAGGTTCTGACTTCACGGTAGAGTTGCCACGTCAATTCTGAAGAACTCTACCCCAGACCCATGTATTTAGCTAGTTCAGAGAGCATCATCAACATGCTGCATAACAAGATAGAATGATAACACCTCTATCAGCTGACGCCAACAGGCAGGAACAGGGAGACAAAACACTGAGAGCACAGCAGCCAAGGTTACAGGTGCCTGTGCTCAGTCAGGACAGATTGAACTGATACACTGGGTCAAAGTTATGGGCCTTGGAAAATATTCCACAACAGTAACTATATAAATATATAATATATATATATATACAATAATGTATTATATTACATTATTGCCTCTGAATTGGATTATTATCGGATTGGATAATAACTTAGTAATTAACAAGGTCTGAAAGCAGAAGTCCAGGGCAAATAATTGCATGTCTCTTCAGTGCGCATGTCACAAAACAAGATGCATTGTGGGACATGTAGTTTATGGGCAACCTGCTTCTGTAAAGTGGCATGTAACCGTATAATAAACGTATTATATTCTTTGCAAGCTCTTGCGGGGCCACATAAAATGAAGTCGCGGGCCGGATTTGGCCCCCGGGCCTTGAGTTTGAGACCCCTGGGTTAAAAGCAGAGAACACATTTCACTGTGTGTGCTGTGTGCTCTGCATGTGTGACCATTAAAGAGGGTTTCATCCCTCCAAATATTAAATTAAAAAAATATATATATTAATACACTTTGAAGGCAAATAATTTTTTCTCCAATACATTTATTTAACATTCATAGTTGCTAGCTTCTTTGTAGATATCAAAACATATATCTGCCTTTATGGTATGATGCAGTAGTGTACTTCTATAATGTTATTATAATGGCTCAACATTGACAAACTATAATATTAAAATGATATGACGTAAAAGAAAAATATATATATATTCTATAACACTGTGAAAAGAGCCATTCTGCCTAATGAGTACTTTAACGTTTCATATTGAAGTACATTTAGCTTCTTATACTTTTTTTTGTTAGGACTTTTACTTTTAAAAGTAAGTATTTTAGACTGTTGTTTTGCTTTTTTAAGTAAAGGATTACTTCTACCATGGCTGGTCAACAGTCAGTAGACAAGTCAGTCTCAGTGTTAAAGTAAATCCCAATGATTTGCTAATCCACCAAAATATGCCTCTAATCTTTCCTCTGGGAGAAATACCTTCAATCTCCATGACAGAAAAAACACTTTCTTAGTGAGCTCTGCATGAATCATGAACCCTGTGAAAACCAAGTGCAGTATTTTCTCAAGAAGGGCACATGATGAACCTGAGATAACTGAAGGATACATCATGTACAGTGTGAGCTCTCCCACTCAGCGCTTCACTAGGTTTGTTCTTCCTGCTACACAGCAAAGTACTTCTATAGTAGAGCTGCTTTTATCCCATAGATCTGGGCTCTGATGTCACGTTATAAAATTCAGCAATACAAAATCTGAATATCACTGAATAACTGAGTGTTACAACAGAGATTAACTAAAACTGAACTTTGAGTTCAAAGGGAGAAGAACTGCCAGCTGGTAAGAGCACAAAAGACCAGTGGCAAAAGTAAAATGGAAACATAAAAATACCTTACTGACTAAACAAACCTTGTGGAAATTGTTACTGAAAATGACAACTTGTGACCGTCTAAAAACATATATGGGCTGGTATTGGCTTTTAAAGAACATTGTCAAATGTATTAATTAATTAATTAATTAATGTTTGAAGATTATTTTCCAAAGTGATGACTACAACTTTATTGGATTCAAAAACTCTTCACCCTTAGATGTCAGTTACTGAATTTAAATCTTATATAAGCTCGGCCTAGCGTGGGGTTAAATGTGTTACCCATGCTCTGTCATCTGATATGGATCAATTTCAGCCGGCAGATCAGACAGACGTTACCATGTTTGGGGCCGCGTCGAGTCAATGTGAGAACAAACAGCTGAGAGAACTAAGCCGGTGGACATCGCTGCCTGTCACCAACAGAGTGTCCTACAGAGGGAACGCTGGTAGACTGAAGTGAAGCCCAGGAGGTTAGATGTTATGAGGGGCTAAAGGGTGACACTCACAGGAGGTTGTTTGGGGTCCACCTGTGGTTCATTCCTCAAGTGTTCGGCCTCCAGGATGTGTTTCACAGCGTCCATCCGGAACCCGTCCACTCCCTTCCCCAGCCAGAAATGGATAATATCCTAGAAAACAATCATATATACAAATTGTATTAAATCTACTGAAGTGCTGAAGGTATTTGATTATTGTTAAATTGTTGCATTGTACACTAACTAAGCAAGCACAATATGCACACAGGAACGCTCTACCATTGCTTTTGCTGCAGGCAGTTAAATCACAATTGTTAACTAGTTTCAGTTAATGTGTGATCAGTTGGCCATTACACATTATTGCTACAGATTACACAAGTTTGTGGATACCTTAACGATCATGGGTCAACACTGACTAAGATTTGAGTATGAGAGACAATATTTGAGTCACAGAAAGTGGTTGAAGAAATGAGTCAATAGTGCAGATCATGTATGTGAGAGAGCAGTGTGTGGTCATGTAATCTTACGATGATCTCTTGGCGGACATGTGGGTTTCTGAAGTTCAGATCTGGTTGTTCTTTAAGGAACTGGTGCAGGTAGCATTGTCCTCTCAAGTCATCATAAGTCCATGACGAGTTCCCAAAAATACTCACCTGAGAGAGAAGGAGGTAGTCAGAGATTAGTGTTAGGAAGTGTAGGCATTACAAATTGCCATCTACTAACTATATCGTTTTTTTTGCTCCAAATAATCTGTTTGATAATTCTTATCATGACAAATGGTGTAGAGCTGCAACGATTTTGTGTGTAATTATTCATTATATGCGTTAAAAATGGCAGGAAATGCTGTTTTCAACCCTTCAAATGAGGAAATGTTGAGATACACATTGTATACTTCACCTAAACAAGACAATTAAGTATATCCCCCTGGACTTTGAGAAACTGGAAGAGACATTTCACTATTTTCTGACATTTTAAAAGACCTAACATTTCAAATGTCAGTGCAAATCAGTACCAACCCAGTTATTGGGCTTTGGAGCAGTTGCATTGCAGTCGGTCCAGACGTAGTAATCCTTGTAGTGAGGATCTCCAGTCCGGCTCAAGTTGAACCAGCGGTGTCGGTCACTGGTGTGATTGGGAATGAAATCCATGATCAGCTTCAGACCTAATGGAAACAGAGAGCCACAGACATGCTACCATAAAAACGAGACATGTGGTGATCCCATAGACTTTGATCCACCATCAGAACTCTACATACACACAGGAAATTAAGAGCACACACCTTTGTTGTGCATTTCAGCCAGGAGCTCTTCAAAGTCGAGCATGGTCCCAAAGAGAGGGTCGATGGCCCGGAAATCTTCCACATCGTAGCCGAAGTCCTTCATGGGAGAGCGGTAGAAAGGACTGATCCACACTGACTTGATGTTCAGGTACTCAAAGTGATGCAGCTGCTCCTGAATTCCTGTTAAAGACCAGAATCACTACAATGAGGAATACTGGGCTACTTGGTCCAGAGGATGCTTACACACAGTCAGCATCCATGGGTCAACTTCATATAATGCTAACACTTTATTTTGAATTGGGTTATTTATCACTGCTTTCACACAATTCATTTAATTGTAGGCCCTTTTCAAAAAACTTCTTAAGGAGAAACACCATTTATTTTATTAAATTAAGATGTTTTGTCATTGTGACAATAAACCTCTTTTAAGTTGTTTTCATTGGTTAGTCAATGGGTATTGGTGGAAGCTATTTTTCAGAAGATTTGTTTATGAATTGTGCATTGAAATAGTAAACTGTCAATATATAAATCAGCACACATTATAATATAATATTATAGGTAAAGCTACCCATAAGGGTATAAAGCCTGAACATGGGCCAATCTGCATAAAGTGTTTACTTTTGATACTTATATTTGAATGATAATACTTCTAAGGACCTATAAGGACTTTTACTTGTATCAGAGTATTACTACACTCTGGTACTTCTACTTTTACTCAAGTACAAGATCTGAGTAGGCTACTTGGAGGGGCCATGGATGTAAAAATATGGACCCCTTTACATCCATGCTTTTGGGACGCTAACTTCCGGGTCAGCCTACAAACAAACGTCATCACTTCACCCCTCTGTAGTACAGCACTATGCGGAGTCTTCTTCTCACCTTTCAGGTCTCCCACCCCATCCCCGTCGGAGTCCCTGAAGGAGCAGGGGTACACCTGGTACACCGGGGAGGCCTGCCACCAGCTGAGGCATCGCGGGGACAGCGCGATGACCGTGACGGTGAGAGCCACCAGAGCCAGGGTGCAGGCCACAATCAGCCAGAAGAGGATCTCCCGGGGCACGCGATACCGGGCCTGGGAGGAGTACAGCAGCAGCACCTCCTTCGGCATACCGGCGTACGGCTTGATCTGCGTGTACTCCTCCGCCAGGTCCTGGTTCCTCTCCCCGGGGTCCGCCGAGGACCCCCCGTCTTCTGCATCCTGGTACCCCGGGTTAATGGTGCACTCATCCAGCTCCATGCTGCCACCGCTGGCTTTTCTTAGAGTCATCTAAAGATTCCTTAAGACCGGAAAACACGCTGCTTTTCTTCAGGAAGACCGAGTGACTGAAAGAGCCCAAGATATACTGCACTTAGAGGGTCAGAGTACACACACTGACACACAGACCTCTCTGTATCTCTCTCTCTCTCTCTCTCTCACACACACACACACACACACACACACACACACACACACACACACACACACACACACACACACACACACACACACACACACACACACACACACACACACACACACACACACACACCACACACACACACACACACACACACAACCTGAGGAATGTGGGAGCTGGAGAGTTGAATGGGAATGAGGGAGATTAGCATTTCTTGTTGCAGTGTTGGCTGAAATATGTGGTGGGACAGGTCGGCATGCCCCTAACTTCAATTGAAGTGGAAATGCCACAGTGTGAAAATACTCTAGGTCAAAAGCTATGGAGCTATTTCAGGGTCATACGTTTTGATCATTCAAAAAAATACAATTTATTTGAAAGTTCAAGTTTTTATCCTGAACTTTGAAAAATACAATGATGCATTCAAAATAAAAATAAGTATTTGAAATCATTTTTCAGGTTGAATATTATTTTTGATTCAGTTCAGCAATTTTTTTTGAATAAAATATTTATTTTCAGATTTCACTTTTATACATATTTTGATATTTGAATCCTTTTTTTTTTCAGTTGCAGATTTTTCGTTTTCAATCTTGTTTTTTCAGGTTTTCGGGTTTCACATTCAGATCGTTGTTCGCTTTCAGATCGTTTTTTTTCGCTTTCAGATCTTTCAAACTTATGACCCTGAAATAGCTCCATAAAAAGTCATTCATTAAAAATATTAGTTTTACCACAATTGACTAAAAAAAGCTCATTGTCTTTGTGGAAATATCTTAACCAACAAAGTAGCTACAGCTGTCACATTAAAGAAAATATGAAATGATATGTAGTAAATATCTATACCCAAGTACCTAAAATCTGTACTGAAGAGATATTATTGTGGGATAGGAACAACAGAAATTAAGCAGGAACTTTCTTGGTTTTTGTGGACTGTTGTCTTTTAGTATGTATGATCTCTTGCACACCACAAAAAATACATAAATATAACCAAACCAAATGAAGTGGGAGCAAGTAAAGTGTGATCTATTAAACATAATATAACATAATCTAAGAACATTGTACGCTAATCTAAACGTTTTGACCATTTCTCCCATATCCCAAATTATGTTAATACTTAAGATGACAGCAGGCTGTGCCAAAAAACCTATGCTTTTTTTTAAAAAAAAACTACATAGCGACTTATTTTGTTTACAAAGTATATTTGTCTGACCTTGCACAGAACAATGTCTTACCCACAGAGCACAAACTGTCATTGGATAAGACCAATACAAATCTGCAAACTTCCTATTCTGTTCTAGTGAGAAGCTCAAAGACACAAAGTTGACATTTGAAGTTGACACTGGAAAAAACAACAAGCATAGCAGTTTAAACCGTTTTCAACTTAAATCCATCTTTTATTGACGTTTATGTTCACTGTATGGTCTGTAACATCACAATAGCATACTGGGGAATTCGTACAGGAAGAAGGGATTGTGAATACCTCTGTCTCAAACTTTCCTTCTTTTGTCCTCTGAAAGGTCAAAATGAAGGAGAGTGGGTCATACATTACTCTCAAATGCACACCAGCTTATTACCTTATACTGTCTTCAAAATACAGTATTCTTATAAGAGTTAAAAGCACTGGAATAAATAAAATAAAAACAAGAGTGGAATTTATCATTGCCATCATACAATTCTGAGTATGTATATAAAGAGAGACGATAGAAGGAGGTGGTAAAGAGTAAAAGGGATCATATCCATACTAAAATGCCCACGTGAGGAATGTCAAGTCTGTCTTTTTCTGCTTCTAAAATCTTGCCTCCCTTCTAAAGTCTTCACGGTCACATGAACCCTATGGGCCCAGAATTACTGTATGCTTTTTAAAATGCTCCTTACTTAACATATCATTCAATCAAAGCAAGAACCCATGATCTAAGTATTCCTATTGAACACCAAAGCCTCTTGTGAATCTTGAGATTCCACAACCAGACAAATGTGTATTGTTTTTTTTCAAAATAAAAAGGGAGCAAAGAGAGACTGATGCTGCAGTGCTGCTTGTACTCAGTCCATGCAGTGGGATCAGTGTGAATAATGAACAATTACATTCAGAAAAATATCCTTTCCTTCCTTCCTTAAGTCCTCTCCTAGCCCAGTGTCTGTTATAGCTTAAACATAAACCCAAAAAGAGGACTTTGTTCAGTTTGGTGAAACCTAATACAATGTTAAAAAATATCAAGCAGAATATGAAGAAATCCACAATGGTAGTGATTTGAATTCAGGAACAATCTCAAATTAGATCGAGTGGGGAAAAAACTATTTTGGGGGTCAAAAAAGATGTTGACCATAACATGGAGGATGAAAGGTTGTAGACAAATAATAATTTCCTGCATTTTGTTCCAGTTCTTTCTCTATTTTGTACTTTTAACCTCACTTATCTGTCTAACATTGTGTTCCACCACACTGAACATGCCCACATTACCCCCATCCGCCCAGTACATCTCACACACAAAATACACTCCTCCCTCAATCACAAAACATGCACAACTATAGACCCCCCCCCCCCCCCCCACCCACACACACCCTCCACCACAAACAAAGAAAAAAAATCAATCATCCCATTAAAACAACTGCAAAAGAACTACACATTCAAGTACCTATTCGTCATATGGCACCAAGAGCAAGTGTACCACAAGAACAATACAAATCAGAAAACTGTTAGGCCTATTCTCTTTCAAAACTACCACTTCAGAAAGCTCAATGAATTTGCCATTGAATGATTGAAAAAAAAAAGTGTATATTACAGTTTTGCATACTTAAAGCCTATTTTTAATGCATCTACGGGAAAGAATACACACGCAAAGTATGTGTACCCCAATTTGTCTATGCGCACATTTGTTAAAAATATTTAAAAAGAACAGGCTTTGTTTCAATCACTTATTAGTGCTAGGGTTTTACAGAAATGAAATGAACTCCAGGTCGATCCAAAGAGCCAAACCAGGGCTTCCAATGCAACCGGCCCCTGCCTTTGAGGCAAAGTCTATGAACAATTGAAGGACAGCCATTAGTGACAGTGTCCCTCTGTTACTTCGTACAGTGAAACACCAACAAAATCCCTCCCAATGTTCTGTACAAGGTATATCTCATGCTCCCCTCATCATTTTATTACCCATCTGTAATAGGACCACAGCCACAGTACTTTGAAAAGCCATAGCACACAAAAAAAACATTACAACGAAAAATGAATGGAATATTTTTCTATTAAAACAAAAAAAAGGCATTTTTTGTTTTTTGTACACATATTGGAGAGATAGAAAAGGCAAGTTGCAGCGCAAGCAGGATTGTGTGTGTTGAAGATTCCTTTATCCCAAAACCCTGTCTTTGGACCGATGTTGTGCGGGAAAACTGTGTGTGCAACTTTGACTTTTTTGTGTTATTTGTCTACACACTAAATGAACAAAGACCACACGCACGTTAGGCAACGACGAATACCATAGCTATGAATTAAGATGAAACAAATCAAAATATAGCTATATATATATATGTATATGACTTTAATATATAATTTCTATCTGTTAAACAACAGCAGGCTGAATGCTTGTGGTTCTGGAAAAGGAAAAGACAGAGCAGAGAGGAAGAGAGAGAAATCTAATGTTTTGTTAACATCCTATAAGATACAGGCGGAGAGAAAGTGAGCAGGGACGTGCAAGAAGAGTCATCACACTTGAGCTTAAACCAACTCCTCGTAATTCAAATCTGCAGCGAGGCACACCAGATCCTGGTGGGGGGGGGGGTCGCAGGCTTGTGTGGTCCCTCGGTGTGATCAAATAATGCCACAAATTGCAGCCAAATAATCCCCTTTAGTCCATTCAGGATCTTACAAACGTCTTTGAGCGACTGGCTGGGGAATGGCGGGCTGACGGTCGGCTTCGAGGGTCTCCCTTCTCTCTCAATTCTGAGGAAGGCACCAAAGCGTCCAGGGCGGCTCCTGGGTCTTCCTCACCTGGGTCTTCCTCAATCGGCGACAAAAACTACCACCACAAAGAAAGCAAGGAAAACGAGTGGCAAGAGAAAGTGTGCTTGTTTGCCTCTCTGAAGTATATACTGTATAGCTTTTCCGATATTAACGCAGTTGTTCTTTTTGTTCCCTGTTTTGTTCTACAGAAAGAACCTAAATCTGTTTTGTAGTCCTCTACAAAGAGTGTGTGAGTGTGTTAAAACCAGGATTCCTGCTGCCATTGATCTCTTAGTGTGAGGAGTACAAATAAAAAAAATCCAGAGGAAATTAAAAGGGTGACTATGGATGTGATCTCGTGTGGAAAAGTGGTCCTGTTTTTTTTTCCTTTTGGATCAGGCAGTCGGGCTGGACAGCTACCAGTGGTACTCCAACTCGGCTCCGTTCTGCAAGAGGAAAGCAATGGAGAAGAAGAGGAAGAGAAGAGGGGAAGATGGTAGGAAAAGGAGATGGAAAAGAAGATGGGAGAGCATGATGAAAAGGAGCGCACATTGTTATTAGGTACAGTAACACAATCATTACAGTGAAATTCGATGATTTTGTTCCCCAACCTGGACTTCAAGGCCAGGTTTTCCTGCAATCAGCACGACGAAAAGAAGCACAAAGTAAAGTTACAATAGCAGCGTAAGCCAGGGCACACTTTACACCTCAGTGTGTGTTCCTGCGGCAACAATACGCCAACACAACAACTCCAAGGCCTTTCGTCAGAGAGGGACACAGAAACGAAGACTGTTGCGTGCAGTTGTGGAAAGACAGAGAGAGGAAGGTGCATGCGTGTAGGGTCGTATACGTGTGATTTGAGAGGGTGGGGGCGGACAGGACCAGAAGACAACGACCATTCATCCTCCCTAAACCTGGACAGTGATGTCACAGACGTACAAACAC